ATGGCATCAGCTAGATGAGCCAAACGTAGTAGTGACCTGCGAAAGTGACTATCAGGCTTCCTTAGAAGTAGGCTGCAGGTGGGATGCTAACACACCCAGCCCTCTCTTGGGCTTCCTGATGGTACCATTTCCGAAGAATTCCTTCCCCTTGTGCCTGTCAGTCTCAGCACCTGGATACACTGTTGCTTCTATGTGACAGGAATAATAAATGGCAAAGCCTGAACTCATGCATATTAACTGCTCAGTTTGATTTGGGAGTGATGCAACTCTAAACTTTAAATTCAGATTACAAGCTGCGTGGGTGAGGTGACCTTAACTTTAGCATTTCCTGATGTTGCTATTTTTAAGTTGGTACCCAGGATGTCACTGTGACACAGGTTTTGCCCTTTAATTGTAAAGAACTTGGGGTTGCCAGCCACTTGGCTGACAGTGGCATCAATGGGGGACGTACTGATGCATAGTTCAGGAAAAAACTGAATTGCTAGGTGTCTCCTACCTCAAGCCTTGTGTTTTCTGCAGTGTCTGCCAGGAACTATACGGCATGCAGCAGAGGGAGAGATAGGCATTTTCCGTGACAGCCTGCCTGGTGTGTTGTCCATCTCTAAAAATCTTCATTGATTAAAGGAGAAAGATGGCTGAGCCTGGTCTCACTATAGCACCTGACACAGTACCTGGTAGTTGGTGGAGCTCAGTTCCTGGCACCCGTCTGAATGTAGGCGGTGGCAAATTAAAATAAGCAGGATCTAATGGAGAAACCAAGTCTAAAACTTGGGGTATTGCGCCTCTGCTCATTAACCACCAGGGAGAAGCTCTTCTTGGCTGCATGAAATGTTAGATTTTTTCCAATTTGTAGGCTTCATGCAAACTTAATTTCCACAAAGAATAAGATGGCAGAGACAAAAGGGGATACAGGTACAAATAGCTCTCTAACTTGAGTTTATAAATTGGTTGATTTTCATGACTGCAGTCATTTCAGCCACTCTTTGGTAAGTACCTGGGGGTTGATACTCTATAGCATGGCGTGCAAGGTGGGCAGGAAGCAAATACTTAGTGTTACCACATAGGGGAAAAGAGCCCCTTAAACATGTTGTAGTGTGCATGTCCTGATGAAGAGGTGTGCCAGGTGGAAGCCAGTTTCTTATAGAGAGGGGAAAGATACATTTGCTCACTGTAGCAGCCCTCGCTCAGAGTGTGGGCAGAATGTAAATGAGGAGGTGTGTAGGCATCCAGCGCCCAGGACTGGATGCCTGTTTAAACCAGCTTTGTAAATAAGCATTTGGATTTTGCCGGCCTACACTCTTTTCATAAGCAGGCTTTCATTCTTTCGGAATGTACATTTTCCTTATTCCTTCGCTAGCAAGAACTCCCGGTGCACATGCCTTTTGCAGGAATGCAGGCCCTGGTCAGGTTGACGCTCTTGAACCCAGATCAGCAGCTGTGAGCACATCAGGCTCGGCCCTCCCTGTGTTGGCAGTCTGTAGGGCAGCAGTGGCACACTGCTGGTCACCATGGGGACTCTGTGTATGCGCAGGTACATTTTGCCTCTGTGAATTTGGGTGGTAGACCAGCTCTGAGACATCTTATCTTGGCAGATCGCAGGTAATGTTTGGAGCTGCTTTCTCATCGTGGATCTTGGTGACCAGGCTCTGTGGGAATCGGTCCCTGAGGCTGTCCTTGGGATGTCTCAGAAAGGTGCCTGGCAACACCCAAAGGCTCCGTGGTGTTAAGGGGTGCTGAAAGTGGTGGGGGAGCCTCACTAACGCATTGCTGAGCCCTTTATTCTGGGGCCACATCATTCTAACAGAAAAGGTCTCCAGTGTTCTGTTACAGGCTCATGCCATGCTTTTTTTCCTTATTCACCTGAAAGTAATGAGTGTCCCTCTGTAAGAGACAGTGATTTAGGGAGTTTTCCACATTTAAATTCCAAAGTTTGGCAATACATTGAATGAATGACTCAGAATTCACTTGGTATCCACTTTTGACATCTCCCATGCTATTTTCACTAGCATCCATCTGGCACCTCAGACTCCAGAGCTCTGTATGCCCTTGCTCAGTGTGTTCTTCAGAGGGCTCGCAGTCTTGTTCCTCTCGGTATCTGCAGTACGTAGTACCTGCTGGCTGCGTTGCAGGTGCTGCTGAAGTCTTCGTCGTGAATGAATGCATATGCGTACTGTGTGTCATATTTCCTGAGCTTGATGTAACTCTTTGGAAATATCAAAGCCTTTTATTTACAAGGTAAAGGCAGTAATAATGCAAATTTGATTCTGTTGCCTAGGTAATGTTCTTTCACATTGTGTGGCTTCTGTGATACTGCTCTTTCTTGGTTTCCTTAGACATCTTTTTGCTCTTAAAAAAAAAGGAAGCCTCTGTTAGGGCTCCTCACTTGCACCTCTTTGCACTGGTGTTTCTGGGGTTTCCTCCTCGGCCCTCTTCTGTGTCACTGTGCAGGTTCTCTCTGGTAGGTACCATTCATATCTTAAGCTTCACTGTCAGGTACAGTGTGATGACTTTCGAATCTGTGTCTTTATGAAGACTCCTCAGGGCTTACCACTGACCCTTACCATGGGATGGGCCAGTTGTTTCTCAGACTCAACATTGCTAAAGCTAAGCTTGCTGTTGCCACTCCTACCCCGTTCTCTGACCTCATGTACTAAGTTACCTAAGAATCAAAACCAGGTCTCTCCCTTGATACCCCTCGCTGTATCTTATACTTACTAGATGACAGCGAGGAGACGATGGGGTCTGCCTTCTCAAACTCTGTGCCGTTGCTTGTTCTTTTGCTTTTCTTTTTCTTCTTCTCCTCCTCCTCCTCTATCTTCTCTGCCTCCTCCTCTGCCTCCTTCTTCTCTGCCTTCTTCTTCCTCTTCTTCTTCCTCCTCTTCCTCCTTTTCCCTTCCCTCCTCCTCTTCTGCTTCCTCTTCCTCTGTCTCCTCCCCCTCCTTCCTCTCCCTTCTCCTTTTCCTTATCCTCCCCTTCTTCTTTCTTCCTGTCTTCCTTTCTTATGGGTCCTTATTCCTGAGACCTGCAGGGTGCTGTGACTTCTGACCTGCTTCCTGCCCAGGCCTCGCCCTCCCTGCGCAGCCTGGGGTGCCTTGCCTCTTCTGTCCCTGCCGTGCTCTGTGCTGCTGCCGCACTCAGCAAGCCCCCACCCCAGGCTGTGCTCAGATCTTCATACCCTTTGCCTCTCCTCAGCTGCTTCCCACTCCCGGTTCCCTTCTCCCACTGCTTGCTCTGCCTTACCTTCTTCATCTTCAAGACAGTCGCCCTTCAGATTGAAGACTTTGCTTAGACATTTTTTCCTTTAGGCCTGACTTTCTTCTGGCTCTGTCCTACTCATGTCTCTGCCTCCATCTCCCTCACTGGTCCCCTCCCTCCAGATGAGAAGCAGACCTTGAGAGTGTCTGACCCAAGCTTGTATTCCTGTCCTAGCACAGTGCCTGGGAAGTGGCGAGTGCGGACAGGGTGTGCTGATGCATGGATGAAGCGATGCATATGTTGGACCCATAGGAATGAGGCCTGTTTTTCTTTGTGCGTTATGTAGTTGGTGTCCCTTACACAAAGGTGTACATATTGGAGGAGGGAGGCTGGCGTGTAGGAGTGGTGGTAGACAGGTTTGGCCGAGGGGCTCATCTTATTTCTGCAGTCTTCCTTCTGGGCAGTGGACAGCCTCTGAGGTACGGACTAAGGGTCTGGGAGAGATAACCCTGGTACTTCTAAATGCCATTGCTTCTCAAAGTTCCCGCAGGGACGGCTCCTGCCTTTGCGGTAGGCACTGCCTTATCTAGGGTAACTCAGTGTTACTCATTATATGGTCCTTTTCTGGGTGGAACCAGGTACTGGGAAAGGCGAAGAGAAGAAACTGGAGCTGTAGAATTTTACAGACCAGTAATACGTTCTCTGGAAGCCTCATCTTCTCTTACAAGTGCATGTGCTGTGAATGGTAATGTCAGTATGGATCAAGTCCTCACGTTCCTGCCCTTCAACTGTCAGCCTCCCAGGGCCCCCGGAGATTCTAAAGGTCTGCTGGGGACTGTTCTTGCCTACCATCGCGCTGGGCAGTTCCTTTGTCAGCAGTTTTGTCCGTACCTTTGGGCTCAGGCATCTCAGAGGCTGGCTGCTTTTACAGCTGCCTGAGATTAGTCTGTTACATATCAGGATTAGGAAAAAAACCTGTGTTACGTTTTGATAGATTCTGTGCTTTCCATCTCTCTCGAATTTGTTAATGGAATTGTGGAAGGAACGATTGAGTCTGGGATGTAAGCTGGAGGCTGGGAAACCATGCGCTCTATTTGGCACAAGTGTTTGCCTCTTCTCTATATGTTAACAAGAGTTTGTTCTTAGGATTTCAATTTAAGATGAGATTGTGGTAGATGTCAGAAAATGAATTATACTTTCAAGTGAACAAATAGTGGACTTTTAAGTGTCTCTTGTATTGCATCATTAATTTGCCAAGATATTCTGGTAACTTTGCCCTCACTTAGCCAAAAAATAGGGCCATGCCAACAAGTGTGTGTTTAATTCTTTGTTCAGATGAATTATTTAAGATGAGAGCTTAGCGAGGTATGCTTTGCACAGCAATGGGAAGAGTGGACAACGCACTGAAGTCAGGATTTTTTTTTGAGGCAGGGTTTTGCTATGCAGTTCAGGCTGGCCTTGAACTCACTTTGTAGACCAGGCTGGCCTTGAACTTGAAGCGACCCTCCTGTCTCATCCTCCCGAGTGCTGGGGAATACATGGTGTGCCACCATGTTCAGCTCTGAAGTCAGTGTTTTGATGGGTCTCCTTTGACCAAAATGGGCTGAAGGCACTGCTTTTTCAGTTACCTAGAGCCCCGGTCTGTTTCAGAGGGCTGGAGGAACGCTTATGTCACTTCTGAGTGCTCACGGACCCCTTGTGCTGCCCTGGAGGTTGTCAGTGTGTTCTTCTGTGCTCCCCTGAAAACCAGTCACTGCCACTCTGCAGGCGGCCAAGTTCACATGTGTCTGTCATCTTTCCCGCAGATTTCAGCAATGTCCCTGACATCACAACTGGTATGAAAAGGAGTCAGACAGATGGCACTCTGGATCAAGCCCCCCATCGAGAGAAGATGGAGCAGACCTTCAGGGTAAGGTGCTGGTTCAGATCGCAAACCGAGAACCAGGCAGGCGAGGGCTAATCCCGCCTTCGCCTGAAGTGGGGAAATAGCAGGGGGCGTTTTCCTGTCCTGAGTTCCAGCAGTTGATGCAAGCGTTTTTTCCACTCCGAGAATATAATTTCCTTTTTATTTGTTTTTGAGGTGAGTAGCAAGAAGAACCATTAACTTAGGCAGAACTCCTTGGTGACTTTCCAAACATCATGGAAGAGCAAAGTGGGCAACGCCACTCCTGCAATAGGAACATTCTCTATAGTTGTTTTGACCAGGAAAACCTAAACCCCCCTTAAACTTAACTCATAAAAGTTAAAAGTCATGTTAACTGACTGTTCTGCTGCTTTCCCACTTTAAAACTTGTGTCACCCACGGTTACCATTTGCAAGTGTGCCCTCAGTGGCACTGAGTGCAGTTGTGCTGCTTTGCCATCACCCCCCCCTTCTGTCCCTGGAGCTTTTCCATTGCTGCAGACCCAAGCGCTGTGCCCGCTAAGCCCTAACTCTCCTCCTCCTCTCCCCCAGGCCCTCGGAAAACCTCAGTTACCCTTGTTCTCACTGGACCATCTGAAGTACCTCATATTTAAGTGAACTGCACAGTGTTTGTCCTTTTACTCCAGACTTATTTCGTGGAGCAGAATATCATCTGAGGGTGCATCCATGTCATAGCCTTTGTCAGCTTTTCCTTCCTTTTTAAGGCTGAATAGTATTCCATCATATTTCTATAGCACATTTTGTTGACCTGTTCATCTCTTGATAGATCTTGGGTTGTTGTCCCGGCTTGGGCGTTGTGGGTGATGGCAGAGGCCATCTGCGTACAAGCGCCCTCTTGAATCCTACTTTTCCATTCTTGGGGATCCACCTAGAAGTGCAGTTGTCAGGTCATAGGTACTTCCATTTTTAGCTTTTGAGTAACACCTCAGCTTTCTCCCCAGCTCTGGGCCCCTTTACATTTCCATTTGGCCAGGACTCTGGGCCCCAGTTTCTCCCCACCCTGAACAGTGCTTGTCCTCATCCAGCCCTTTCCTGTATTAACTGTACTCAACTGTCCTTTCAGAAATGAGCTGACAGTATATATTTTCATGTCCAGTCTAGAGTTTGAAATTATAACTCTGTTCTCTTATTTCCTGCTTTTGTCTTAAATACTGCCTTGGTTACTTTTCTCCCATCACCAAGGCAAAATACCTGACACCCAAAATTAAGGAAGGAAAGGTTTATTTAGCTCACAGTTTGTGGAGGTTTCAGTCCATACTCGGCTGGCTCCAAGGCAGGGTGGCACATAGTGGAGAGCAACAGTTCATGAGGGCAGAAAAAAGCAAAAGCAGCAAGAGCAAAAAGGGACGAGCAGCAGACAGCAAGCCTCTCTCCCTCCCTTACATTGTACGTAGGCTCCCTGCCCCAGGGTGGGTGCAGCACTCACACCCATAATCCCAGCATTGGACCATGAATCAATCATAAACTTTAGACGCCCACCACATGACTGCATGAGGCTTTGGGGGGACATCCAGACACAAACCATAACAAATACTAAGTAGGAATGGAGGAAATTTAAGCAATGACAGATATTCAAAGAAAAGTTATAGTGGAATCAGTTAGGGGGGGCCAGTTGGGTTTAAACTAATGTGACCAAGAGCGGGTCCCTGGCCATGTGGCTGTGTGGCACCTTGTTCGGTGTGGTGGTGTTCACTGTGCAGGGGCTGGGGTAGCCTTGGAAGTGGCCCAGGCGCTCAGCCGCTCTTCTGCCCTCTCCCTTTCCCTTCCTACTCCTGCACTCAGCTCCCACTCCCTTCTCGTCCTCATCTCTCCTCCCTTTCCTGATTCCTAGAGGCTGTCGGTACTCTGGTTATGCCCCGATGTAAGTGCCTTCACTAAACTGAAGTCCATCAGAATTTTTAGTCTTAACCCCTCTAGTCTCTCTCTAGTGGGTTATTTCCTTTTGAATATCATAGCTAATATTCATCCATTTTTAAATGCACAGTGGATCCTACAGTATCAAACAGATGTATTTTGGTTGCTTTGTCTTTAAATTTTTTTTCAAAGAGCAAATACTCCTGAAACACTCAAGACTCAAGGCTCTGGGGTGAGTGTCCCCCTGGGGCACTGGCAGTGTGGTGCTTGGGAGAAATCACTTAACACTTAATGCTGTTAGGGGAAAATGGTTTTCTCTTTGTGATAATCAGCCTAGGTTACCCGTTAATGTTCTTAGGAAGGAAATTAATTTCCCCAAATTCATTATTTCAGTGGAAGAGTTATGGAAAGTTAGCTTGTTAAGGCCATTTCGACCCCTACCTCAGGATGGTGCCTGTCACAGCTAAGCAAAGTGGTTGCAAAGTGAGCGTTGGAACACAGTTTAGAAGTTTAGGTGTAAAAGCTGCAGTCAGGTTGCAACTAGGCTGATCTGTGCTTCAGTTTCCATTGTTAAAAATGGTGAGGGGAAAACATAAATGCATAAAGTACATTTATTCATAAATATACTTATTCATATATACATATCAAGGAACTCATAAGAAAAAACCTATTGAAAGAGACTACATATCCTTGAACTGAAATGGGACCAGAAGGTCTCAGATTTTTTTTTTAACCAACCACCATCATCCACTTCAGGGTCAGTATTGGAAAAGTGAAAAATCTCAGCTTAGCCATTGCCTTTGGTCCCGTGGAAATCTACTGAACCCTCAGTTTCCTCATTGGTAAACACGGGCATCTGCCTAGCCTCACAGCTTCCTCACATGGTTGCCTTAATAATTTTCTTTTTTCTTTTCTTCCTTCCTTCCCTCCCTCCCTCCTTCCTTTTTCCTTTCTCCCTTCTCCCTCCCTCCCTCCTCACCCTGCTCCTCCCCTTCCTCCTTCCTTCCTCCCGCCACTCCTCCTCTCCCTTCTTCCTTCCTCCCCTCCCTCCCTTTCTTCCTTCTTTCCTTCCTTCCCTTATTTTTGGTATTGGGGATTGACCCTAGTGCCTTAATGAGGAACTACATCACCAGCTCTTTTTTATTTTTAAATTTTCAAAAAATTAATTTTATTGATACATTTTTGATATACATAATGATAACGTTCATCATAGGGGATTTGTACGTGTGCATGATGTATCTTGGTTCTTCTTTTTTCCCCCATTCCCCTCCCCTCCCTTCAATGCCTCTTCCCCTCATTTACAAAGCTTTGTTTTCATTTTTCCTTCTATTCTCTTTTATTTTTCTTATCCTTTCCTTACTTTCTCCCTCCCCACTCCCCATTTGAATATTTTCTATTTCACAATATTTATTATACATTTTGGTCCTTACTTACCCTTTTGGTTTCTCATACCAGAGAAACTGTGATATTTAAACACATGTGTCCTATTTATTTCACTTACGAGCATGGTCTCGAGGTGTGTCTATTTCCCTAGAAATGTCCCAAGTTTTTCCTTCTTTATGGCTGAGTAGTATTCTATTGTATTAAAAACCCACATCTTCTTTATCCATTTATTGGCTGATGGGCATTTGGATTGTTTCTAAGATTTAGCTATTACAAACTGTGCCATTATAAACATGGGTATGCAAATATCACTGTGGTATGATGCTTTTTTTTTTTTTTTTTGTTTTTCTCTGGTACCGGGAACTGAACTCACGACCTTGCGCTTGCCAGGCAGGCGCTTTGCCGCTGAGCTAAATCCCCAGCCCAGTATGATGCTTTTGATTCTTTCAGGAAGATACCAAGAAGGGTAATAGTTGGGTCAAATAGAGTCTCTAGTTTTAGTTTTTTGAGGAATCCCCACAGTGATTTCTACAATGGTTGTACCAGCCTACACTCACACCAACAGTGGAGAAGGGCTCTTTTTCCCCACACTCCTGCCAATAACAGCATCTGTTATTGGTTGATTTCTTGATAATAGCCATTCTTTCTAGGGTGAGATGGAATCTCCATGTTGTTTTAATTTACATCTCTCAAATGATCAGTGATATTGAACTTTTTTTCATATATTTACTTGCTGTTTCTGTTTCTTCATCTGAGAAGTGCCTATTCACTGAGAATTGATCATTTCTAGATTGGATCTTTAAATCTGAGGGGGGTCTGATTATTTTGAATTCTTTATATATTCTAGATATTAGTCCTTTGTCTGAGGAACAGCTGGCAAATTTTTTTCCCATTCTGTGCATTCTCTTCACTCTGTTGGTGGTTTTTTTTTTGTTGTTGCTGTTGTGCAAAAACTTTTTTTTAATTTTAAAGACAAAAAAAAACTAACAAAACAACAATGAAGACAAAATCAAAACAACACAAAAACAAAAATGATACATGACCCCAAAACAAAATAATAGGAATGAACAATGGTTGCTACATTACATACTGTTATTTTCAACGAAGTTGCTCAGTCCACCAGACATAAGAATGTAAGATTGATCAAACAGTCAAAGACAGTAACAAGTAATAAAAAACTCCACACATTGGCAGTGATGCACAACTTCACCATACAAGATAGTAAGAGTTTAGCAATGGTTCTTACACTGCATATTGTTGTTTTCAGATCAGTCGTTCTGATTACCAGATTCAAGAATGCAATATTGGTCAAGAAAAAAGAAAATTTTAAGCATTGACTATTCCTTTCAATAAACCACAGACATCAGCATTACACCTCTTCCAGCAATCCTTGTATATACATAAAATTTTATTTTTCATTTTAAAGAGAAAAAACCAAAATAACAAAAAAAAATACAAAAACAAAGCAGCATAGAGAACAATAAAATGATACAGAATTTCAAAACAAGGTGATAGGATATTAACAATGGTTGTTATATTACATAATGTTATCTACAAAATGGTTGCACGTATAACCAGATATAGGCATACAAGACTGATCAAACAATTACACATTAACAGTTCCTGTTAATAAACCAACAGATATTAGTAGTACAGTTATCCTAGTTATCCTTTGTATACATATACATATTTTTTCTCTTCCTTTTTTCCTTTTCTTCTTCCCTTTTTCATCCCACTTGCTCCTTCCTA